TTAGTCCTTTCCGGGGAGATGAAGCAGAAAAATAGTACAAATCCCTCCCAGGAAGCAGCTTACTAACTCTGCCCATGGGAGGGTGATTTTGGACAACTCACCATTTCTCAAACTAAATTCTGCATCCGCTCCACCTCAGCCTGGCAGGTGGTGCCTGATGCGTCCGGCTCCTTGCCCTGCCTCTCCCGCACCACTCCCCATGAGTCACTGAACCCCATCTATGGGCCCTGAACACCCCTCCTGGCCATCTCTTCCACGCCACCCCACTGTCCTGCCCATCTACTGCCTGGTGTCCCATCCGCCTCCAGAGTTTCCCTGCAGGCAGAGGCACGTGACATGCACATCTGATTCCACTCCCTGGAAAAAAACCCCTCAAAGGAATGTCATGCCACTTCAGGCATGGCTTTGACTCAGAAAAGATAGAGACCTAAGCCCTGCCAACCCCTCTCTGACTGCTGAAGAACCAACCTTCTCCCTGGCACCCAGGTGGACAATCACTCAGATGGCTGGGTGGAGAGAGGTCTCTCATCTTTTGCTCCCTTCCTGCCCTGCTAGGCCCAGGAGATCTTCAGGCCTCTGCAGATGCCCTGTGTAGAGGAAGCTGGCTCCATTGCACTCCTGAAAGGACCTGTGGCACCCATACTGCCACAGCAGGCACCAGACTCCAAGCTCAGAGAAAGTGGGGTGCTGCACTCTGAGTGCCAGACACTCAGGTCCCAGTGTCGGCAGGAAGGAAGCTGCTACTATGGATTTGCAAGAAATGCCTCACAGAGACTAAGCCAGCAACTGGTGCAGCTCTCTAGCCTGGCCTGCAGAGACCACAGTGCGGCATTTTCTTGTGTGGGTGATACGGATCACAGCAATGAGATGCTTCACAGCCTCATGAGGGGGATTTGACGCAGAGCCCTGATGGTGTTGAGCATCAGGAACTCAAGCAACAGGACAGGGCTCGGCACTTGGGAACGCAACTGCACAATTTCTCAGTCACCACATGAACCAGCAACCTGGCTCCCCAGCTCAGGCGGACACAGAGAGTTCAAGGTTAGCCTGAACTATGCAGCAAGACCCTGTCTCAAAAAAACCAAAAGAAAAAAGTAACAACCAAACAACACCCCCCCCCAAAGTTAACACAATAGAAAATATGCCATTTGTGTGTCAAATATTCCCATATGGAAATCACATGATGCTTGACCCAATCAGAACTGAAATTAACTCTGAAAATGTGGCAGGAAGCTCAGAAGATGACTTCCTGATTTTCACACATTAGTGCTCTCCATGTGTCTGCTATTCTTGTGCTCCAATAAACTGAAGGGAAATGGAGAGGATTTCCTTTGCTGAAGAAAAATGCCACAGATAGTGTTAGGGCCTAAAGCACTTAGATTAAAGTGGGAAGCCCCCATTTCCCCTTTGTAATGTCTCAAACAACTTGCTTGTGTTATCGGTCATCTGATATTTGTGCTTTGTGCCTACCCTGCTTTTGTTTTTTGAGACAGGTCTTGCTATGTAGCCTAGGGCAATCCTTCTGCTTCAGCCTTCTGAGTGTTGGGATTACAGGGGTGTGCGACACTGTCCAGTCTCTGATCCCATTCATGGTCATGAATGTCTAACTAGAAATCTACAAACAATACCACTACCTTGTAGAGCAATTTCATGCCTTAGATAATATTCAATTTTGTGGCTGGGGAGATAGCTCAGTAGAACAAGCACTTGCCTGGCAAGCTCAAGGTCCTGAGTTCAATCACCAGTACCAAAAAAAAAAAAAAAAAAAAAAAATTCAATTTTGATAGATTTGTTGTAAGCTTGGTTATTACAGAAAAGCACTACAAAGAAACACATCTTCTTTTTTGTTAATTAGGAAAAGTGATGACAATATGCCAAGCCTGGAATCTAGTCTCTTCCATGACCTGAAGAGTTCAGCATGTAAGGGTCCCACATCTGTCCTTCATATAGGGAAGACGTAAGATGCTTATTCTTACTCAATCTCTCTGACAGGCTCAACTTTATCTATTAAACACCTTTCTTGGAACATAAATTAAGCACACACTTGCCTCAAATTATGACTCAAGGCACCTAAAAATAGGCCTCTCGGGGCACACTTTCAAGTGAATCCTGTTTTTCGAGCACATCTGCCCTGTCTTCCTCCAGGCGGCTATGAGCAGCATGTGCTTCCTCCAGGCCCGTGGTCCTTCCTGTCCAAAGCTTGCTGGAGGCTGGGCCCACATGTCTATCCCCCAGTCTTCTCCTGCATGAGTCTCTCATTGTCCCTCAGGCTCTGATAAACCAATTCCTGAGCTGCTTTCTGAGCTATCTCCAGTGCATGACCACACAGAGTGCCTGTCACTGAGGGTGAGTGCCCAGGACACCCTGCTACTCCCTCCTCTCCATTCACAGGAGGGACTGCTACCTATCTCCCCTCAGGAAACCTGTCTCACCCATTCCAAGATCTCCAGCTGGTGGCAAATCTCTCCCCTTGTACTCTAGTCTTTGTGTTTGATGTTCAGGAAGCTGAATTTCTCTGAACTTCTTACCCAGAGAGCAGCTTCTCAGGTCAAGCAGATTACAGAAAATGGGAGTCTGATCACAGCTGATCTTTTTTTTTTTTTTGGCAGAACCGGTGATTGAACTCAGGCCCTTGTGCTTGCCAGGCAAGCGCTTATTCTACTGAGCTATCTCCCCGGCCCTCACAGCTGATCTTGATGATATCTTTGGAGTATCTTCTTCTGGGTCAGAGTAGCTGCCAGCCCCTTGGCTCATGCTGAGTAATGTTCCTGCTGCTCAGAGCCCAAAGCCCATCCAGGAAGGAACAGATTTGGAGAAGCAGAAGTCAACCGTGGCCTCCTAAAGCTGAACTGCACACATCAGTCAGATGTGATGAACAAAGACTGTGCAGGTCATCTCAGCGCCTTGCGACCAGTGTCTCTACATAAGTGACAAAAGCAGGGTACAAACTTGTATATAAAGTCTAATTTCACAAGCACACATCAGCTGGCTAATCACATCAGACCTGAAGCCCCAAAGCTGGCATCTCCAGCTGCTACCAGCTGCACCTACCAGCCTTGGACACCTGCCCGCACATGATCTGGACCCCATGAAGGGCTGAGTAGACATTCCCACCCTGGAGTACTGGCTTCTGGCCTGCACCCTCTTCCCAGTGCGTGCCTAAAACCAGCCCCAGGCAGTGCCAGGGTAACACAGCCTTCCCCCCGCCCATCTGTCCTCAGCCTCTCCACACCCTAGACGTCACAACCACCAAGACAAAAGACCTGGCTGAGGGCATTAGTGCACACACGTCACCCCCGCATTCTGGGAGGCTGAGGAAGAGGATGGCAAATCAGCAATGTTTTGTCTCAAAACAATTTTAGCTCAGCGGTGCAGCACCTGCCTGGCAAGCATGAGGTCCTGAGTTCCATGCCTGGTATACCTACTCCCCTAAAAAAAGGACACAAGATGTTGTTCAGTGCAAAGGCCCACAAAACAAATGACTAAATGAGTAAAATTTTAAATAACGTTTTCACAAAATTTCTAGGCCCTAACCTCAATCCTCAAGAGGTAGGGGAGGGGGCAGGCCTGGCACAGAGCATAACCCTGTCTCCCAGGTTTGCTGAAGCCCACCTCACTGTGTCCAGTTCAGTGCTCAGCCCACCCACCCCTTTACCCCAGGCAGCTAGTTTAATCCCTCCTGCCAACACCAGGCAGACTCCTGTCCTGTTCTCCCGCCTACACAGCTTGGGGGTCCCTTCCCTCAGCCACTGGGAGGAACTCAGGCATTCCCTAGGCTGACAGTGTCCCCTCTACCATGCCCCACTGCCCTCCGAGCAGCCAATGCAGCCTCTGCCCTGCCACTCCTAGCCAAGCAGGCACTGGTTGAGGGCCCCAGGCCCCGCACTTCTGCAGGAGCTTCCTGCTCCCAGTGCAGGGCCCCACGTAGGGAGTGCTCTCTTCTGTTTCAGTCCCCAAGAGAACACGGCCACAATGCCAAGAAGCAGATGCACCAAGCACATACAAACTCACCCAGCAGGCCTGACATGCCCTTGACAGAGGCCAAGGCGAGAGGGGATCATGGGCAAGGCTGGCCTGGGCAACCCGAGACCTTGGCTCTAGGTAGAGAAGCAGCAGAGTGCATGACCAGCGCGTGGAGGCCGCTAGCAAGAGCGCAGCCTGTGGTGCAGCGCGCCCAGCACATGCAAGGCCTTGGTTTCAAAGCCAGGACAAGAAAAGGAAGGAGAAGGACCACTGTGGAGCGATGCAATGGCAGTGTGGGAGCTAGACAGGCAAATTCAGGAACGAGGGAGACGCATGTTGGCGGCCACCACCAGTTTCCTGAGAGCTGGAGACCCCACAATGTGTAGCATTCATCGGAGCCCACACAGTCACCAAGAGCAGATTCATGTCACCGGAGACAGTGGCTCCTCCCTGCCCTCCCAGGTCATGACTATGTCTGTTCAGGTCGAGGCTCTGGTTCTTTTCTACAAACTACAGGTAAAGTTTATCTGTTGTAGGAAGAAAACCTGAGGGCAAACTGGAAACTACACAGCATCACCGACCACTGAAAGATTTATTAGAATCTTCTTCAGATTGAGACGTTTTTTGTCTTTTTGAGGCAGGGTCTCACTATGCAGTTCAGGCTGGCCTTGAACTCACTTCGTAGCTCAGGCTGACCAAAATTCAGTGATCCTCCTGCCTCAGCCTCCCAAGTGCTGGGATCACAGGCATGTGCCTCCATACCTGATGCAGATCGGGGTCTCTTGATCAACAGCTCAAAGCTAAATATTCTCAGAGTTGGACACCAAAAGAAACAGTGAAAATCTAACAAACATCAGTTTCTAAGGTCTATTTAACATATTCAATGGTTTCTCAGAAGAGAAAACTTAGCTGTTGCTTCACTGGACTCAGACTCCCCCCAGCACCTTTCCATGTGCACTATGGGCCCTTGGTTACTAGCGTGAACCCAGAGCCATGCTGGCCCTGCACGCCCACACCGCCTCCCCTGCATTCCTTACCGGGACGTAATAGATGCCCATCTTGGGGGCCTCATTGGCAGTGAGGAGCATTCCTGAAAAGCAAGCATGAGAGAAGTGAGCTTGGGGGGAGGCACCCCCTGTTCCCTGCTTCTTACTGAGAGTGCCTGAAGGGTGTGGTCCACAGTGACCTGCAGCCCTGGGAGGGGAGACCAGGCTGAACCTCAACAAACCCTTCAAATACATGAATTTAGGCTAAGTGTAATGGAGCACAACTGTCATCTTAGCACTTGGAGGGCTGAGGCAGGAGGACTTCCACAAGTTCCATGCTAGCCTGGGTTATACAGTGAGCTCAAGGCCAGCCTAAACTGTATAGCAAGACCTGCTCAAAAAAAAAAAAAAAAAAGGCTTAAAACCAGAGGACACTGAGCCATACATCCAGCTCTTACTTTTTATTATGAAACAAGGTCTCTCACTAAGTCATCCAAACTAGAGTCCAAATCATGGCCCTCCTGCCTCAGCCTTCTGAAGTGGGGATCACAGCTGTGCATCACCATGCCAGCAGGCAGCCATGAGCTCCCAGGGGGCAGCAGCCTGGCACCGCCATGGCACGAAGTCTGTGCTGGTTCTCTGACTGCATGATGCCTGTGCCCCTCTAAGGCTGCCTGTGTCCTGCACTCCTGGGAGTTTCTCAGCTGACCTCTCTTGCCCCACGCTCTTGTCCCTGTTACTATGCACACTCCTCTTGGAGCTCTTCCTGGGTCTGACCTCTGCACCCTGCTCACTTGCTCCACACTGAATAAAGGGGTGTGGATGCCCCCTTTGCCAGGACTCTGCACCTCTTCAGCTACCAGAGAGGCTGAGGAGGTAACCAGACATGCCACTGCCAACTCTTCTATTCCTGGGACCCTCAGAGAGATGCTCCGCCTCTGCCTTAGGCCCCTAGCACAACTCAGCCTCACTTCAGCATGGCCTTCTGGTGCTAGGGTCTCTGCTGACCCCTTCCCAACCTCCCTCTCCCTGGACTGTAGTATGGGGTGCAGCGCCTACAGGCCCCGGCCACATGGCAGCATACTGTGGCTCACAGGCTAAGCCTTGTCCCATCTTGGGACACTGCTCCTATCTGCTGCCTTGTCTGTTTCACCCTGAATATACCCCGCATTCTGAAATTTGTTCCGCACCCTGCTGAACAGTGACTGAAACTCAGGGTTCCATGAGGCATCTGTTTCTTATCTGTGAAAAGGGGCTACAGTAACCCAGATTTCCCCAAACCCCTGCCCTGATTACCATGTGCACTCACTAATCACAGAAAAGCCACTGGGCACTGTCACACCACTGTCTGCGCCACACCTGTGTTTGGTTCCAATGAAGGCAACAGCAAGGCTGAAACAGGCAGATCACTCCCCACCAAGGCGTCAGGCAAGGCAGGGGTGATAAGCATTATGTATACCAGGCCAAATGCCACCTGTGGGGCTGATACAGCTCAGAACCCAGACTTGGTGAGCATGTCTCGGTGCACACTGCTGGTCACAGGCGCATACCTGAGCCTGGGTAGAGGCAAACATCATTGAGGTCGTGCTCTGGCTCCAAAGAGGTAAATATTTTCCCCTAAAATAGGAAGCAGAAAGAAATGATTAGGATGGCTGGGCTGGAGAGCTAGCTCAGCGGTCTAAGCACCTGCCTGGCAAGCGCAAGGACCCAGCTCCTATCTCTAGTACCACATGCCGTGCTGGTCCCACTCTGAGCAGGCCACCGAAAGCAGGTGCTGGGGAGGCTGAGACAGGAGGATCACTATGAGTCTGAGCTGTACAGCAAGACCCTGCACCAAATAAATAAATAAATAATAAAATAAAAAAAGATCAGGATGACCAAATAGAGCACATTTTTGGCACCATCATGAAGACTGGAGACAGGACTCAGTTATCCGTGCCGCTACACACAGAAAACAGTGTAACTGTTGAATTCAAAACTGAAGCTGGGCAAAAAACAAAACAAAACAAAACAAAAAAAAAAAACACCAAAAAACCCTGAAGCTGGGCATGATGGCACTTGGAAGGCTGGGGCTGGAGGACTGCCCTGAGTTTGAGGCCAGCCTGTGTTACATAGTAAGCTCAAGGCCAGCCTGAAGGACAGCAAGACTCTGTGTCAAAAAAACAAAAACAAAAAATAAAAACTGAGAAACTTTCAGAGAATGTGCATGGTGATCACTCAAGGATCTCAGTTCTGGGGTGAAGAAACTGATGCCTAGAGGTGATAGGTCCAAGGGGAAAAGCCTTCAGGTTTTAACCATGAGTCCTGAAAGTATAAAAGGGGGCCCTAAGGAGCAATGGCCAGCAAGGGACAACGGGGCAGCACTGGCCCAGAGGAGGCCCAAGAGTGTAAAGGTGTAGTAGGCAACCCGACAAGTAGGACACAAAGCAAAAGCCACACACAGCCATTCCAGGTGGCAGGGCACAATGGAATGTGGAAAATCAAGGGAAGTGAAAGGAAAGAAGGAAGGAGGGTAGAAACTGGGGTGACCACAGCACTTAGGAGGCTGAGGTAGGAGGACCATGAGTTCTATGCAAGCATGAGTTACAGAGTAAGTGCAAGGCCAGCCGGGACTTCTCTGAGGAGAACAGGAGTAAGGGTGGGTAAAGAAAAGGGATGACAGAGATAAACATGGCACGCAAGACAGCAAGTCCATCCAAATGGAGTATCGTGGGCGTTAGAGGAAGTATTAAGTCATAAAGAACAAAAAGGCCAAACTGAATTGCAGCAACCCAAACATGAGGTTTCCAAGCATCCACACTGAAAAAGGGCAGCCAGCTCCTGCAGCTGGAAGTCATCACCAGAAGCTGTGGTTAGCTCTGCGCAGCGGAGAGCAGGCACGGAACAGGGGACCAAGCTAGCTGCGTGCCCGGGGAAACCACTCCCCAGCTCTTGCCCCACACAGTCATGCAGGCCCATCTTGTCCTCCTCCCTTCCCAGGAGACTGGAGGAGCATGGGACAAAACAAAAAAGGGTACCAGTTATTGCCTGGTATCCCAGCGCTCAGGAGGCTGAGGCAGTAGAATTGCTGAGAGTTCAAGGCCAGCATACACTACATGCTGAGTTCAAGGCCAGCCTGCACTGCATAGTTAGACCCTGCCTAACAAAAAAAACCAAAAAAGATGCTGTGTCTAATTAAAGGTAACAACTCTTAAAGGCATCTTCTCTACTGGGTACATGTTTTCCAATTTATTGGATGAAGTATTTTCTCAAAACATTTAAGTTTCAAAACAAAAAATAAGGGCCAACAAAATAGCTCAGCAGATTAAAGAACCTGCAAGCAGGCGCAGGGGCCAGGGGTTCAACTCCTGGGCTAGCTGTGCCAGCCCCACCCCTGGGATACACTGAGATGGCAGTTGAGACTGGGTGTGGTGATGCGTGCCAGTAATCCCAGCTCTTCGGAGGTTGTAAACAGGAGGATCACTACGAGTCCGATCTAGCAGTGAGACCCTGAACACCCTGTAGACCCTTCCTTAAAAAACAAAAAAAAAAAAAAAAAAAAAAGGAAAAGCAGGTGGATGAAAACCAGAAATAGAAGATTTTTGTTATTTTTTAAATGATATTTGAAGGGGCCAGGGTGATGGTTCAGTAGAGTAAGTGCTTCCCTGGCAAGCTCAAGGGCCTGACTTCAATCCCCGGTTCTGACCCGCCCCCCCCACCAAAAAAAAACCCCCACGATATTTGAAGTTGAGGGGAGAGAACTTCACAATAAAATACTTTTAAATTCATTAAGTTTATTTCTTGGAGACAGGGTTTCACTGTGTAGTTCAGGCCTTGAATTCACCACATAGGCCAGGCTGGCAATCTGTGGCAATCCTCCTGCCTCAGCCTCCCAAGTACTGAGATGACAGGCTTGCCCACCACGCCTGGCTAGTATGAGAAGTTACCACAAAGCTAACATCTCTAAAACCCACTTCTTGGCCTTGGAAGGCCAGGGCTGTAGAAATGTGGATGTGAGACAACACTGTGAAGAGTCCGTAGCTGGTGGAGACTTTCTTAGGGTTGGGAGAGCTCTCAAGCTCTCAAGGATGGACTTCTTTTGAAACAGGGTCTTGCACTGTAGCCCATTCTGACCTCAAACTTGCAATTCTCCTGCCTCAGCCTTCTGAGTGCTGCAATCACAGGCGTGCACCGCAAGTGTCACAAAGTCAGGGGACAGACTTTTTCTTTTCTTTTTGGTGGAACCAGGGATTGAACTCAGGCCCTTGTGCTTGCCAGGAAAGTGCTTATTCTACTGAGCCATCTCCCAGGCCCTGGGGACAGACTTTTTCAAACAACGATTTTCTCTCTGCCAGACTCAACATGAAAAGTGCAAGGCAGCAGTAGCAAAGTGGAAAACCCCAGAGCAGGAGTAACGATCTTTTGCCTCTGTAAATGTGCTTTTTATTCGGAGTAACTGACTTCCTCCTCCTAACTCCCAAGTGGACATTCAGCGTCTTTCTTAAGAGCCCACCTACCACACACACACACATACACAGGAAAGGAGCACTGGGAACACATCGAACAAAAAAGGAAGTAATTTCAACAAAATACCTACTGAATTCTTATTCCACATTTTGACAATGCGAGAGTCTGCAGACAAAATCAAATCTAAAGCATCCTGGAAGTGGACAGACTTAATGGGTAGCCCGTAATAGTGATCCTTAACTAGCAATGGTTTATTGGATCGAAGATCATATAACAAAACCTGAGGGGAAAAAAAAAATAAGTTACTTTTCCTGAAACAAATCATTCTACCCTAAAAGCTAGAACAGTGGCTACTCTGTGTTTCATGACCTCCATCCTTTTTATTCATCTGTTTTGAAGACAGGGTCTCACTATGTAGCCCAAGCTGGTCTTAAACTCTTAGAATCCGCCTGCCTCAGCCTCCCAAGTGTTAAGATTACAGGTGTGTGTCACCATGCCTGGTTGTTTCTTTACCTTCTACGGAACACAACAGTCCTTACAGCACCAACAGCCTGAAGGCAGCTGGTACACTCTGGGAAACCTTTCTCCCACACAATGCAATCTTACAAATGTAACCCCGGAGTAATTCCAGGTGCCCAAGGTTTAAGCGCTCTTGCTGCGGTAGTAAACCACTAAGGAAGCATGCAGGAAGCGCCGCAGTGTGGGGTGGAGCCCAGGCAGCAGCCACGCCCCCTGCGGTGTGAGCTGCAGGCCAGCCTCCATGGCAGGCAGGGCTACACTGGACAGGACCAGTCCCAGCAGACCCCTGTGGCTGGGGCAGCAGTGAGACTGCCTGCTGGAGGAGGGACCGCCCTGCCCCGTCATGCGGGCCGGGGGCCTTGGCCTTGATCTCAGCCCACGGGTTAGGCATCCACTAGACTGCATCTCAAGCTTCCCCCTGGGTCTGGTAAAGCCCTGTGCCTGTAGCTGTGCCTCCCTCATCCTCGGTCCCTGCTCCCCCGGAAAGCACCCTAGCCCCACACTGCTGCAGGAGCTCTGGAAGGCAGGATCCCCAGTTCTCTCCCCACACCTCAGGGCCAGTGTCACCCTGCGTATCCTCCTTACAGCCACCCAACTACATACCTGCCCTGTGGATGTGCCCACCGCCATGGCCAGGCCACCATTGAATTTCAGGGCAGAGATGGTTGGCAGGCTGCTGACCCTGCAAGGCAAGCATCCACACGTGAGTAGGTGACTAGTCGCTCATCTTCACTGGAAGTCCAACAGGTAAAGCACATTCCTAGCTGTTATCAGAGCGCAACAGATCCCACCTGTGCACTGCCTGAGTGTGAGACACAGTGCAAGCTACTGTCTCCCTCTTATCAAAGTGGGGAAGAGGCAGCTACAGAAACATTCCCACCCTTACTCGGGAGGAAACAACTATACTCCTGGACATGTGCGCTGCTTCCATTCTTTAACACCCTCATTAATAGCCAGACACAGTGGCACATGCCTGTCATCCCAGCACTCAGGAGGCTGAGACAGAAGGCTTGCTGGGAATTATGACCAGGATACATAGCAAGACCCTGTTAGAAAGAAAGAAAAGGCCAGGGCAAGGAAGAGAGGAGAAAAGGAGAGAGGGGTGTTCTGTGGAGTACTCTAGAAAGAAACTACCTGGCTTACCCACTAAATCGGCTTTCACAAGAGGATTGCTGTATAGAACAAACACAGACACTACAACTTCAGATCTGAGTCTTAAAAGTTTCATCCTTTTAGCAAGTCACTTTAATTTCTTGTTGGTCCACCTGCTTAGGTCAGAGAGCTGACAAAAGTTATACCTCAAATCAGTTCCAACTTACTCTGAATCAGCTGTAACGCTGCTTAACGCGCAGTCTAGCAAACCGACTCTGCTCCGGGTTCGTGGGTCCCAGCACTCCACTCGACCCTACACAGATGAAGACTCAGTCAGTCAGTCAGTCACTGAGACAGTGGCTCACTATGAAGCCCAGGCTGGCTTTGATCTCAGTGATCCTTCTACCTCAACCTTCTGAGTGCTGGAATTACAGGTATGCACCACCACACCTCGAATATATCATTCTTTTTAATGGCTAGGGTTCTGTTTAATAGTCATTTGGCTTCATTTCCTAATCTGAAATCTGAAATGCTTCAAAGCTGGAAACTTTGATCACCAGTCCAAGTGGAAAATTCCACACTATGAAATGTTAGTTCAGGCGCAAAACTTTTCAGAACTATTGTCTAAATTAATCTCGGGTTTGTCCAGCAGGTATCTATCAAATGTAAATAAACTTTGTGTTTGGGTCTGTGTTCCATCCCTAAGACACCTCAGTGTATCTACTCAGATAATAACACATCTGAAGAAAACTCTGCTGAAATACATCTGGTCCCCAGTGTATCTACTCAAATAATAACATATCTGAAGAAAACTCAGCTGAAATACATCTGGTCCCGAGCACTTTGGACAAGGGAAACTCAACCCCCACTATCATAATTTCCTTGCGGCTATGGTTTGCAATTCTTTTCTACAAGTTAATCTTTCTTTCTTTCTTTCTTTCTTTCTTTCTTTCTTTCTTTCTTTTTTGTATTTTAGGGAAGGGTCTACAGGGTGTTGTTCAGAGTCTCACTACTAGATTGGACTCGTAGTGATCTGCCTGCTTACAGCCTCCCAAGAGCTGGGATTACAGGCCTGCACCACCACGCCCAGTCTCAATTGCCAGTCTCACTGCCATCTCAGTGTGCCCCAGGGGCAGGGCCGGTATAGCAGGCCCAGGGATTGAACCTGCAGCCGCTGTGCCTATTTGCAGGCACTTTAATCCGCTGAGCTATTTGGCCAGCCCTAATTTTTATTTTTTAGACAGGGCCATTCCATATAAATTGGGGCTCACCAAACTAAGAGACTGTTCCGATTCTCAGCCTGACTGCCAGCAACTCCATCTTTCAACGGCCACACCTCACCCAGTGTGCACTGAATACTTTGAAAGCCGAAGCCAGTATACACTCACCTCGACTGTTCCTGTGGCAAACAAGCCATGCACAGGGTTTATGTCGCAGACATTATTCTCCCTAGAACAGTAAAGCAGCAGAGAGAAAGTACTGGTTAGCAGAAGGAAGGCGGGTGAGACGGACCGAGGAGGAACAAAGCTGTGTGATGTCCACCACTCTTGGTCCCGAGGAGCATGCCCACCTCACCCTGCAAATGCAATGTACAGAAAAGTATGAATTGGTATTTATTCTCGAGGGAAAGAGGTGTTCAGTAAACTTTCTCAACAGAGAGTCACTAAGATTCAGAGGGGCAGGAAGCACGTGAATTTTTTCCCCTGGCACCTGCAGATAAGGCACAGGAGACCTGAAGGGTTAAGTGGCCCGCTTGTGGTCACTAAGTTACTGCTCCCAGCTAACAGGCTACCTGCCAGGGGATAAGCTTGCAGCCACACCTTCTGAAATGCGATCCTACCTTGAGAATAATGTCTCATTCTACTCTGACAAGGCCAGGCCAGTCTGAATTCCTGAGGAAGCAGGCCATCACCATGATGGGCCTGAGCCTGGGCACCTCCCTGCCCTCTGTCCCCCTAAATTGGGGGGGTCTCACCCACCTCCTAGACTGTGTGGAAAAGACAGCAAAGTGGGCAGCGGTGTCCCCTGGATGGAAGCCACTCGATAAATACCAGCTGTTACTACAAACAGGAAGTCAAGCAGCTGAAGAGTGGATGACTTCTGTTATTCAACAATGTATGATATGACATTGCAAGTTGTTTTTCTTTTAAATAAAAGCACTGCAAACCAACGTGGAATAGAAATATATTTGTGGTTTATTTGGTTTTGTATTGTGACCTAGGCTTCCAATCTTTAAAAATTTTTCAGAGGAAGGGGAGAAGAGACTGGAGATGTGCCACCTCCCTACAAGGCTACAAACATGAACTCATAAATATGAAAGGGTGAGCTAAAATAGGACTTATTTACGGATTCATGCACTTACTGCAACCCCCAGGCTGATGACGTCCTAGAGCTTCCTCCCCAGCGCAGCGCCACTGAGGCCGATCCCAGGCGGCTCGCGCCCCCTGCTGGCCATGCGCAACGCCCATACTCGCGCGGCGCCCATACTCACGCGGCGTCCGTCTGCAGGGGGTTCAGGTAGCGTCCTTGTTCCAGGTTGAGTCTGTAAACTTCAGAGCTACAAAATAATAAAGCAAGCCAGTCCCCTGGGAAACTGCTGCCAAACCTCAAGTCTCTAGAAGCTTTATCAACATAAATTTTACAATTATATGTATCCCTCGTAACCCACCTTCTTTGGTCAAATTGGTTAAAGAAAAAAAAATTGTTCCAACCTAAAGTATATTCACCTCATTTAGGAATCTGCCAAGCAGAAGTGTGAGTTAAACCATTTGGTGCCAAGAAAATATTGCCAAGTAGATAAGGCGACGGGTACCCAAAATAAACATAGTGTATCTGACATGAACGCCAGTCTAAAAGGAAACAGTAAAATACTAATAAGGCTTTCTTTGGGTGGCATAATACACAAGAATGTTTTTAAAACTTTCTGTACTTCCCTATTTTCTAAAATAGAAAATATAATTTCTGTACTCATAACAAGGCAGCACTTTAGAATGAAGCTTTGGATGAGCTGTAAAAGGCTCGAGTCAACAACTTCTGACACTGCCAGTCCTGCAGATAACCCACTACTATTACGGACTACTGGACTATATTCGAATATTGCTGAATTCACGCACCTATAATATTTAAATGGCAATGGAATACCCATCTCTGACAAAACTAAACAAAAAAGGGGATATAAATGAAGGACCATTTTGTATCTGTATATACAAAATAGGAAGATATTCAGCTACTTTCTCCTAATTCAATGAGAAGATTTGTACTTATAGTGTTTGTGGACAGGATATCATGTCTGCGTCTTGTACTATGAATAACTACTATGAAGATAACAATAACAATGTATTAATTATTGTAACTGTCCTACTAACCTCTTTTGAAACTGTCACATTGCTATTTGTTTCTCAACAAAATTATTACTATTTTTTGTTGGCAGAACCAGGGATTGAGCTCAAGCCCTTAGCACTTACTCTACTGAGTTCTCTCCCAGGCCTGTTTCTCAATAAAAT